CATAAAGTAAGATTATATATATCCAATCATGGGTTTTGTTCCAATCTTTTTTTTTTCATTTGATGTATATTGTTTCCCCCCTTGGAGATACAAAAAGAAATCACATATATGTATTTAAATAGATTGTAAAGTATTTGCGAATAAACTTTGTCCTGAAGCTATTTTGCCCTTTTCCCTCTCAGGCTCGTCATAATGGTCAGAATTATGTATTTTCCCTTCTTACTGGTTATCGTGATCCTCCTGCTGGCGTTTCGGTAAATTTTAAGCCACTGTACTTCTACTGAATTCCAAAGGATGTTCTACAGTACATCTTGCTAAATAGAGTTGTTGTACATGTGCAATTGTATATTATGGGACTTGTGTGAGTAGAAAATTGTCCTTATTCTGCATTCCTGCTATGTTACATTATTTCATGTGAGCTTACTTTAGTGGGATTAGTTGAGGATGTCTTCTATTTCCTGTCAATTGTGTTATAATGTGTGGGCACAGTTCACATGGAGTAGATATCTGCTTGTTGCACCTCAATATCTGTAGGGTGAAATTAATGTAACAGTAATATTTGTTAGTTTTTAACATGGAAAATGTACATTTCATGTGGCTTCTGAAGCAGCAAGCGGAATGTCAAATTTTGCTTATTTAATTGTAGAAAGTTGTAACTTTCCTCCGTGGTCAATTAGTTAGAACTTAGGTAGCCTATATTTTGAAGTACATTTCATTGTTTTCGAATCATCGGATGTCTTGCATATTTATACTGATTTTGTTTTGTTTGCTACTCCACTCCCCTGTTGGAGTCTGATGGAGTATCTTTTATTCAAGTTTGATTTGTTTTGCTTTTCAAATGAGTATTATAATTTTTAATGAATATGAAATAGCCTTTTATTCTTGTGATCTTCTTAGTGTTACTTATTAAGATAGGAATTGAGTTACAGTTATTCAAAACTTAGGATTGGACACAACTCAAATATTTCCAACCAATAAGCAATCATGGATTATTTTTTCCAGCTTCCGTTAACTCTTCTCAATCCTGAAAACCCCGTGAATGGTTTTGTAGATCCGAGAGGGTCTGCACTATAACCCTTATTTCCCTGGGGGAGCAATTGCGATGCCTAAGATGCTTAATGATGGAGCTGTTGAGTACGAAGATGGTACCCCAGCGACAGAAGCACAGGTTCGTCTGCTAAATATGTAAAGTTTGTAAGTTGCAAAGAATATAAGGATAATGCACAAAACCGCCTGGGCTGACTGAGCATCATCTTTCTGAGTATTGATCTTGTGTACCTTGACTGATAAGTTCCATGTCCCTGTGTAATACAGATGGGTAAAGATGTTGTCTCGTTCTTGTCATGGGCTGCTGAACCAGAAATGGAAGAAAGGAAACTGGTAATTTGCATGCTAAATCAGATGTCTTGTTACACATTTCTATCTCTCTTTTTTGATGTTTTGTGCGATCTTGAATGCCAGATGGGATTCAAATGGATCTTTGTGCTCTCTCTGGCTCTACTTCAGGCCGCATATTATCGCCGATTGAAATGGTCAGTTTTGAAGTCCCGCAAGCTGGTTCTTGATGTGGTCAATTAGCTAGCTGACTTTGAGTTGCGTCTATTATTTTGCTTCTGGGAAGAAGAAATGAATTGGCAATAATTATCTGTTAGAATGTAATGTTTCTTACGAAGCAATTTCTTTTTTGAATCATAGTTGATTTGCAGTGAATGACCTGCAAGTGTCTGAGTTCCTCGTTTTTGATGGAAATAAACTTCATACGCCGAAATTCATTATTTTTGTGGTAATTTGTCACAACAGCTGAACTCTGATATTCATGTTGGATATATTTGTTTGTTGAAACTTTGTATCTGTAAGATTTATGTGATAAAACAAAGAATTGTAAGGGAGGCAGCCTTAGGGGCTGTAATGCCCCCATCAAGGTGTCTATTTGGAGTCCACCAATTAATGTTCTTCGAAATGCTTACATTTTGGCGATGGAGCTGACATGTTTTATCCCCTGTTCGGTAATGTTTTGTTCTTGTTGGTGTTTAGAGGTTCAGCGAAAGCAGAGCTAGTTGCATATATATAATCATTCAAATAAAATCTAGTAAACATTTGATTGATTCGAACAAAGACATAATCTCTGGGTCGTAAGAGTTAATTCTCGAAAGAATAAATGCATTTATAGAAACTTACAATTTATTAATGAAGATTTTGTTGTCGACTATGTCTCTCTACTCAACAACCATATTTTTACTAATCATTAGTTTTCTAGTCAAAATATAAAACTAATGATCGGGTTAATTTAAATTCTCCATTCTTATTTGTTTGTACTTTAATCTTAATTTTACTTCAGTCTGTTTAGAATCAACGGAGTGACACATGCGTGTCACAGTGAGAGCGAGCATTTCGAGATGAATATTTCTAGTGACTTCTTTTGAAATGAGTTTTTCAAGGACACTACCAGACAACATGGGTGTGCCGATTTTGTGTCCTAGCCCGTGTATCGGAGGTTGGATTATGCACATGCTATTCGAAATGTATGCTATAAATGGTTTAGCATGAACATGGGAGAGTCACATGCTCGAGAAAATTTGAAGGGATGGATGTTCAAGATGTCCCATTGAGATGACCGACACATGGGTCAGTTCTTGACGGATGTGTCTGAGTAAGTCAAGATGGCTGAGCTGTTTCGAAACGTGGGATGATATCACAATGCATGGATCGTGTTGTTGGAAACCAAAATGATGATGAGATGCAACATTATTGTGCACAGACAATTGAATATGCACGTGTGTGGCCGAACAAACTTGAATTCTGCACAAGTGGTATTCGATTGACAAAGACAAGACGAACCACAAAACGTGACCAAAATGCAAATGGGGCCTTGTCTTTACAATGTAGAAAAAAAAAAAGTGGTCAAGAAAATTTTTTCTAAATAAATAAAGAAAATTTGGGAACCACAAACATTTTATCTCAAATTTAATGAAAAATTATTATCATCATTTTAAAGGAAAAATATGTGTTTTATATAGAAAATATTTCAATCTTCAAAATTTTAAATAGAAAGAATTAGAGACAAAACTTCAAAAATCTCATAAAGATTTTTTTTACCATTCCTCTTCTTTAGCTTTGCCCACAACATACTTTATACTAGTGTCTCGGAAAAGTAAGAGATCTCATTGTCCGAGATATGCTCTTTAGCGAGGTCAAACTTTTCAGAAGATAACATCCCGACGTTCATATTAACCTACCTCAAACTCTTCACGTTATAGAGCAAAGTCCTCACATTCTCCTCTTTTTCTCTCTCTCTATTCAAACCTAACCATCAAAACCGACCCAACAAAATTTAAAAACAACTTTAAAGAAACCAATGTAACGCCATTCATTTCCACATAACAACACCGTCTTTGATTACTCATTCAACGCAATTAGTATCCTTTATAACGATATCATAATTGTATTGGTGGCAATCCTTGATAGAGATGAGGACCAAAGTTGTTATCTTTAATTTGTGGGTTTTGAAGTTTGATCCATTAATATGTATGTAGAGCATATGGTAAGGTCATGAAGTGCTTGCATACTCTCTAAAACGACAATTTGCAATGCTTACAAAAGCTTTCCCTCACTTCTATCACGTTACTCGCCCCTCTTCATACGTTTCTTCTCTATCCCTCTCTTTCTAACGCCTATGCAATGCATGCACAACCATTTGTTCTTGGTTTGTGTTCGATGAAAGCTAATCGACCATGAAGTTTCAAGATCGTGTCTGTTAAATTTATAATATCGTCTAACTCAATAAGTTTATCATCAAATACTTAATCGTAATGTGTTTATATAAACCCTCAATTGAGGGATTTATGAGAAAGAAACACGAACTTCAAAAGCTTTGTGATGAAGATTGAAGTGTAGACCAACCCTTTTAACCAAATTGTAAAAATGTGAGTCAATAAGTTCCAATTGTTCAAAACCGAATATTAAGCATCACCCAAGCCCACCAATAGTAGATATTGTCCGCTTTAACTCGTTACGTATCGTTGTTAGTCTCACGATTTAAAAACTATCTGTTAAAGAGAAGTTCATTTCGCCTCCCTCTCCAACCAATGTAGAATCTCACAATCCACACTTTGGAGGACCCAACGTTCTCGTTTGCACTCTGCTTAGTGTTTTGACTCTGATATCATTTATAACAGCTCGATGCCATCACTAGCAGATATTATCCACTTTGACCTGTTACGAATTGACGTCACCCTCACTCCTCACTATATTAAGACGATCTCTAGGGAGAAGTTTCACATCCTAAGAAATGTTTCATTCCCCTCTCCAACAAATAGAATAATGGGATGTGACAATCCTGCATTGAGAAGTAATTAACCGTAGAACACTTCTAGAATAAGTTATTAATCATGGTGAGTTTACAGAGCATTTATAAGAGAAGAATTATTAATGTTTTTGGTTTTGTAAGATCAATTGTCGGAAAAACATTGCGATACAAAGTGCTTTTTGTGAATGTTTCATTTCAATCATGAAACCAATGATTCAATACATGGAGATTGAAGGAGAAAGTGATCAAAAAAGAAAGCCAAAACATGTTGCTCTTTCTCACACAACCAGAGAGAGAGAGAGGCAGTATTAGTACAGAGATGGTGAGTTAACTCAGAAGTAGGTCTTAAAAAGAGTGGCTCACTCTCCCACTCCTTCGCTTCTCTTTGCAGTGATGATCCAACTCTAAAATTGACACTTCATTCTTCATTTAATGCAATCCCAAACCCACCAGTTCTTGCAGACATCAACCAACCCAATCCCACAAACCACACTGTGTCTAAAAAGAGGTGCACCCTAACCAACACTAGGTCCTGACATATTGTTCAGTAACCCTCACATTAAGTCTCCCCTCATCCACATTCATCTTTTCAAACAAAATAACATTTGTAACAAAAGACAACATCAGCTAGATGTGACTTACGTTTCATTCTTTTTAGTATCGTTTTTAATCAAACATAAACGGGTAAATTGGATAAAATTGTGGAGAGATCTTTACCATTAGGGCAAGGCAGTGAAATGAAGTAAATCTTCCCAATTAGCTTCAACTCCATTATTATTATACCCACTCCCACCAGCATTGCCGCCTATATTTCTTGAACTGTTGCTTGTAATACTCATTTGATGATGATGATGATAAGAATCATTATTTCCAAAGATCCATTCAGTAGTAGTAGTAGTAGTTGTTGTACCTGTAGCGGCGGCGGCGGGTGTTGAATCTTTTCTAGGATGATTATTATCGAAAAAAGCTTCCTGTTTTGGAGTCTCTAGATTCTGAAACGAAATGGGTTGCAAAATTTTTTGATTTTGATCATGATCTCCAAATATCATACCCAACCGCTGTTGCTGTAATCTCCAATGGAGGTCTTGGTTTAAGTAGCTCAAAGACTCAATTGAAGAAGCAAGCTGCTGGGTGTTGTCGTTTAAATTGTAGAGCCCCATGGATGAGTAATTGGTGGCGGGAATTGCCGTCGCCGCCGCCGTTTCCGTCGCCGCCGTTTGACCAAGAGAGAAGCAAGAACATGGAAACAACGATCCTCCTGTTCCGATGGTACTAAAATCAATGGAGGGTGAGATTCCGGTGAGGAAATTAGAATTAGAGGAAGAAGATTTGAGCTTTTTGTTTTTCCGGCAGCCACCACCGATGGGGATGTTTCTCAAGGCGCCACCTTTGGTCCAATATCGACGGCAGGTCTTGCAAAAGTGGCGGGGCTGAGTGAGATTGTAATTGTTGTAGTAGCAAAATTTGGTGTTGGTGGAATTGCAGCGAGGGCATTTGAGAGGTGGTTGTGAGCGATGAGAATTAGGGTCGTTTTGGGTAATCGGCTGCTGCAATGGGGCCTTCATATTGCTGTCTTCAATGGCGGAAAGCTGCAAAACAGAGAGAGAAGCAAAAGGGAGAGAGGAAAAGACTAAAAAGCTTTGCTTTTTTTATCCTTCTTTTCTTTCACTTTCCCTTTTCCACAACCAAATATACTCAATTCAATGTCTTCATGCAGGCAGGGGCATTATGAATAGATGCTTGTGATTTTCATCAAATACACCTTTCATATATATATATATATATATATATATATATATATATATATATATATATATGTGTGTGTGTGTGTGTTTGTATGTATATATATCGACTTTCGAGAAAATAATAAGTGGTGACGTATATTCAAATTGACTAAACTACTTACCTTAATTTAACGTCGGAAGTTAGAAAGAAATTATAAAAAAATCTCGAGATTTAATGTCTAGTTCTTATATATACTTTTAAAAAAATGTCTAATAAGTACAACTAGTCATATCCCATTATAGTATATTTTAGGGCATTTTTGTCGAGGTGGGTGTAGATGTGATTTTGGTGAATGGTTATACACCCCGTATTGACCTGATATGAAATGATAAAGGCTTATCTAAGATGAAAGCATGAAAGAGGGGTTTGGAATGGGTATGAAACCATAGACAACAGGCCTTGGACAAGTATGACCGTGCGACATCTGTCATGCGGCCATAAGCAACATGTTTTGAAATTTTAGAAGAAATCTTTACCTATAAAATTAAAAATGGTGAGACAAGAAAAAAAAAAAAAATTTGATCATGTGTCAAACAAGTGGGAAATTCAAATACCAAAAATGAACTCACTTTGATTGGAGAGAGGAGTGATTGCCATAGAAGAAGCAGTGCCTTAAAGGTGGATTGTGAGATCAGTTGGAGGGGGACAAAACATCAGGGCATAGAAACCCTTCTCTCTAACAGACGCTCTTAAAAAAAACTTTGAAAGAAGATCCGAGAGAAAAATTTAAAGAGAACGATTGCATAGTAACCAGAGAGTGTATGAAAACACCGTAAAAATAAGAATACATTGGGGGTGGATAAGCATTAATAGCAGTGTTAACATAGCCCCATGCATGGCAATTGGCATATATGTAAGCCTATATAATCTGTATTCATTGGCATTGATATTAGATATCGGTATACCAGAAGTTAGAAGACTGTGTGTTCAGCGTGGGAGCTGATCAGTAATAACTCAGAGCAGGAACACAGAAGTCTGCCACACTGCCTGCAAAAAAGACCTTTCCTTTGTCTCTTTTTTGTTGCCTCTGGTCCCTTTTGACACTATAATCCTCAAATCTATTAACAATTTGTCCGTGGCTGTGATGCCATATCGACTGGAGAGTAAAACGAATTATTTTTATAAGGGTGTGTAAACATTTTCCTAGTAGATGCGTTTTAAAACTGTGAGACTGACGATGATATGTAACGAGTAAAAGCGGTTAATATTTGCTAGTGATGGGTTTGAGCTGTTACAAATGGTATTAGAATTTGACACTGGACGGTGTGCTAACGAGAACGCTGGACTCCTAAGGGGGTGAATTGTGAGATCGCATTTTGGTTAGAGAAGAAAACGAAACAATCCTTATAAAGGTGTGGAAACCTTTCCCTAGTAGATGCGTTTTAAAACTGTGAGACTGACGAGATACATAACGGGCCAAAGTAGACAGCATCTACTAGCGGTAGACTTGGGCTGTTACAATTTGTAACGATCCATGTCCACGATTCAAAATCCAGATTCAGCAACTGTGTGCGATTACACTCTCCTTGCATTACTTACTTGTAGCTTCTAAGAGATAAGAGTCTATTCTCAGAGAACAACACAGATTCTTTTACCGTGCTTTGTTCTCACTCGCATGATTCTTAGTAAAATTCATAAGAGGTTACCCAATACACTATTAGTCCAAACAAAACAAGCTTAATTATGGAGTTACTATGATTAAGTCAAAAAAGAAAAAAAAAAATTGTAACTTGTTGACACAGACAACTAATTTCAATTTTTTTTTTTTTAAGTTTTCTTAATTATCATATTTTTAGAATTGCTTTCATTTAAACGTGGTCTCATTTCAATGATGTGACACATCCCAACCTAATATAGATTCAGAATCTTGTTGATATAGATACTAACTTTCTCTTCTTTCAAGTCTTTCTTAGCCATTATATTCTCATAATTACTTTCATTAGATGTAGTTTCAGTTCAATTATGGGACACATCTCCGTCGAACCCAGATTTTGAATCCTGGGCATAGATTGTTACAATATATCTAACAATTTTGTATCCTAAGAAATACGAGAGAAAAACTATTAAAATACTTCAAATATGTATACGAGAATACAAATTTTAGAATTCACGTCCAATACAGATACCGAGTAATGATAATGGATTGCGTTTTAAGGCTGTTTACTTGTGGGGGAAGGATTGAGGAGATGGATATGTTTACTAGGAAGTAACGTTTTGCTCAAAAACTGGAAAGATACCTTTCATGCAATTACCTTTAACGGTTGCTGTTTTTTTTTCTTTTTTGTTTTGTTGTGTTGTGTTGTGTTGGCTTCTTTTGTTCTTCATTACTCATTTCTCTCTCTCTTCACATTACTTATAGATATTAAAGTTGAATCAAAACAAGAAATAATGTAAAGGTAAGTATGAAAAGAATGGGATGGGGGTGGTGGAGAAACGTGGAATGGCGTAAGAATGCAGCCACTGTTGCTAAGAACAGCTAGGTAAGTGTGTGGGATTGTTGGAAGAAATAGAGATGAAGAGAAACATGTGATAGAGGTGTGTTTCATCCTTCCCCCCTCCCACGTTTCTCACCCATTTTCCATACTACGAACTTTAACGATATGTGCCAAAGTTTCGAATCATAATTCGAAATTTAGATTCGATACTTAATGATGGCTTCGATGTTCCTTTGTATCTACTGTGACATGACACGTTACTTACTTCTCGTTTCTAAGAATGGAAACTATTTCTATTGACTAACACAAATCCTTTTTGCATATTTAGTTACTACTTATAAGCTTGTTAGGAAAATTCTCACGAGATCACCCAACTTAGAATTGTTCTAAGGATAATAGACTTGATTTTGAAATTTCTATAGTTAAGCCAACAAGTAAGAAGGTGCACCGTATTGGTATTTGAATCACTAAATAAAATAATTGTGAGATCCCATGTAGGTTGGAGAGGGGAACGAAACATTCATTATAAGGGTGTGGAAATCTCTCCCTAGTAGATGTGTTTTAAAACTATGAGATTGACGGTGATATGTAACGGGCCAAAGCGAACAATATTTGCTAGCAGCGAGCTTGGGTTGTTACATATAGTATCAGATCCAGACACCTAGTGGTGTGCCAGCGAGAACGCTGGCCCCAAGGGGAGTGGATTGTGAGGTCTCACGTCGATTGGAGAGGAGAACGAAACATTTCTTATAAGGGTGTGGATTCGGTGACTGCTACAGCAGCGGCGAGTAAGGGAAACTGCTTATTAAGTCTTGCAATAAAAGCTCTTCCCAATGTGTAGAGGCGGCACAGGAAAACAGCTTATTAAGTCTTGCTCTATCCTACCTTACCTTATCATGAGTTAGCCCTATCCGGTTTTTGCATTTTCTGTATAATACTGCAGTGCTAATTACCCACATACCTTCTAAGGTAGGAAAGGCTAAGGCAATGCCTATTACCCACATACCTTCAGAGGATTAACTCCATCTTTCACAATGTGTTGAACAGGAAAATTCAATTGCCATAGGTTTGTGTGTGTTCTGACTCTATTTATTGGATTAAGTCACAACCTGCGCCTGAGACTAGTGAATGAGGTTACAGTAAAAGAAAAGAGAACGAATGAATAGAATATGCGAGAACGAGTGAAAGAGTGCGGGAGGTTTGAATGAGTGACTTCCTGTTTTTCAGTCAGTAAAGTAGATTGTCTTGACTCTCCCGTAAAGGATTTCATTCATTGTATACACGAATCATTTCTGGATTCTCACTCGAACTCCCTTCCCTGATTTCTAGATCCATCTCACATCAATAACTCGAATAGTGAAAGAAGAAATGAATTAGCTGCTTTGAAGATGGAACAGGAAGAGAAGCGACTGAACCGAAAGTCAATCCGAAACTGCTATCCTACCTAATAGGCTAGCGGGCAGAACGAGGAATTAAAGCTGCTATACCGAGGTTACTGTTCAAGTTTGAGAATAAAAAGGTGGAGTATATTTGATTGATGTTGATGCTATTAGAATTTCATATAAACAAATCATATTTTTATTTGATTTCTACCCTTACTTCTAACAATAACTTAATTTTACGAATAATTATTAGTTTGTTGATTTTTATTAATTAAAATTATTAAAACAATTATGACTAATATATGTTTAAATTTTAGTTTTTAAATTTATTTAGCTATATAATCAATCTTATTAATTATTCTCGAAGAAATTAAAAATAACATTAATATCAAATGACAATTAAATAGAGACCAAATGAATATGTCAAAACATATTAAAAGAAGTAAGGATAGCGGAACACCTCAAAGAAACAACATTAACATAGGATGAGTGCATCGAGGGAACGACCAACTTTTTTGCTATCAAAAGAAAGGAAGGATAAATTCAAGTGATCGCTTTGTGTAACAAGACTCGTGCCTAGAATTCGTATCAAGATTCAAAATTCAGATTAAACACCTAATGGCCCCGACACACCCCTGCGACATGGTTGCGTTACCTACTCCTCATTTCTAAGAGTGAAAACTATCTCCTAGATTGACACGAATTCTTTAAGCATATTTTGTCCTCATTCACATGTATTCTAGGAAAATTCACAAGCGATCACCAAAAATAAAATTGCTCCAAGCAAAACAGGTTTAACCATGAAGATTCTATGATTGAGCCAACAAGAAGGAAGGTACACATTGTTGGTATAGGTAGGAACTTTCATTTCTTTTAAGCATTTTTAGCCGTCCTATCCTTCGAACCGCTCTTATTTGGATGTGGTTTCGGTTCATAAGAGTCTAAACAATTACTCATATATATCTATAGTAAATAGTCTGTTAACGAATGCTTATATCTAGATCTTGTTGCAATATCGATTGCACTCATATATTT